AAATAAATAAATGAGTGCACATGAATCAGTGACATACACATTCATCGTGGTAATCGTCAAACATGTGAAATTACGGCAAACAATGCGGCTGGGTACAGTCGGATCGATGCTTTGTCGCCGGGAATTGTTCATTATTATTTTTTAATCTAAAACAAAGCATGTCAACTATTGAATTTAATTAGGCCTACAGTAAGTCTCATCTTCATCTGTTTTGTTGCACTCCTCAAATTCTGGCCTAGCCGAAAAAAATCGCGTCAGCTAGCCTTGGGCCTAGGCCTGCTCGACTTAGTCCTTTTGGTTTAAGAGCTTTCACGAATACGAATCGCCGACCGGCACTCCAAAAAGCTGGTGACATCCCTGTCATGTGATGTCATCATGACCATATTTAGGCATGTCACAAGTTTTTGCCAAATGAAATTTGATAGTCTGGACAGGGTGTGTGTCAGTGAGAAAAAAAAATTTTCTTATTTGGTAAAATTATTATTCTATGCAGGTGGAGCAAAAAATAAAAATCTAATTTTATTGAATTAAAACAAATGCTATAAAAAGGTACAAAAAAGTAACCTCACTTGAAATCATATGGCATGGTCTTTAAAAGAAGGCAATGTTACGAGGTTGTAATCAGTTTAATAAAAAAAAAAACAGATAAGGCCAAATAAAATTAATTGTTAGTTTCACGTCTGGGATTTGAAATTATTTTTTGGTGAGGGTGATTACTACTTGCTTTTTACTATCCTATATACTAATGGTCAACATATAGCATAAATATATTCTTTTTTTATATAAGAAGTAAAATGAATCTTTGTAATGTATTTCTGAAATTTATGTTCCCACCACTTCTTAGGCTTGACATCATTCTTTCAGAAATCATTAGTTTTATTGTCCAGGGAAAAACGAATATTTTTTAAAAATAGCAAATAGTAATTTTTTTCATTAGGCTCCAAAATTTCATGAGGGCGAAGACGTGAAACTAGCAACTAATTTTATTTGGCCTTTGTGCTATATATTTTAATTGAAAAGGAGAAAAAACATGTTATTTGGGTGATTATTATCACACTGTGAGAATGATAACACTTTTTAAAAGATATATTTTTTTTATATATTTGCATATTTTTCACAGTAAGCTAAATGGTAAAAAAAATTTAACTTTTATATGAAAACAACGTTTGTCATTAGGCCCATAAAAAAAATTATTAGTTTATCACCCTATCAAAGAATAAAAACTGATGAGGGAGGGAGGTTTTTTTTTTTTTTTTTTTGCCAACCTCGTCCACATGCTACCGATGTTCACAAGTTAATCAATGGTTAGGGACACATATGTAAAAAGTCATAAGAATGGAATCAAATTTATATTCAAAAAATATGTTTTTGTTGTATCAATAAACATATTTGCAAGAAATCATGAGCTTTTCAAGTGAAAAAATATGGAAAAACGACCATTTGAAATAAAAATATATGTTGATTGAAAAAAAAAAAAAAAATCAAAATTTTCCTAAAAGTGATGAGGGAGGGGGTAGAATTTCCGCAAAAGTGATGAGGGAGGGGGGTGATAATTAATTTTTTTTTATGGGGCCTTTTACAGTAATTTACATATTTAAAAATCAAACACTGATTTGTAATAATATGCAGTCCAGCTGGTATGTAGTGATATGCACCCTTCAGTAAATATAGCATTCCTAATATTTCAAATATTGCTGCCTGCAAACATGGTTTTATGAAATGTTTAGGCTCTATTCGACACTTCAGTGAATCTTATAATTTCCACACGTCAAAACATTTATCTTAAGTTATCAAGATCCACAATAAATCAAATCTGAAAGTTATTTAGTTTATGCAGGTTACATTACAAGCCATTAGATCCAGGGCGTGTTTAACTAATCAATCCTAAGCCTATACAGTACAACAGAATGGGCTAAGCAAGCACTACGACGAATCAACAAAGCTCAAAAGAAGGTTTCCTCCCTTTCCCAGTAAGATCAGAGAAGCATTAAGAGTGTTGATTGACGTTCCACGTAAGCCTACGCTCGCTAGACTCGATACTCACATTACAATGCCAAATATAGACTGTTTGTGTGGTCACAACAGCAAATAATTGCCTTTCTCTGTTGCTATTAACTTCTACTAGCTTTTCATCCCTTTCTGTGGGGACATTCAGATACTTTGGCCAACCAACAGGAAAATACATGTTGAAAAAAATAAATTTTATCAACTTCTAAACTCCTGTCAAATCGCCATCATCGGAAGGTCATTTTATTTTTGGGTTCAAGTCTATGAATTTACAAAGTAAAATCACTCGGTGTACCACATATATTTTTATTAGAATTTGCAAAACATAATATTTTTATATTAAACAATACAATATTTTTATATAAAGATAAATATAAAATTTTATATTTAAAAATTTATGTATATTTTTGCGAATTAAATGGTGTAATTTAAGTAGTTTTGGAAACAATTTTCATAAAATTTATTTTATCTTTTATCTAGAAGAAACTACCCATGATTGGCGAAGTACTGAAGTAAAATAGGCAACTGAGCATTGTTAACCAATCAGCTTATGCGTTATAAGTATGGTTCGTCGCATTTTGTAAATAGAAGTTTTGCATTCGAGCTTCTGGTTGCCATTGAGATGCAACTCCGTTATTTTAGGTCCACTGTTCAATGAAGGAAAGTAAGTGTTCACTTGTATAATTCTCTTTATTCAGATATTCATTTAAATTGCCTATATGTTTCCTTAATACAGTAGTTATAGTTGCTTGCGAAATGACATTTTTTATAACAATATGATTGATAAATCCTGGGAAAATCAGGTCTAGCTAGGCTAGGCTAGGCCTAGTATTAGTACTACTAGCCTAGATGCCATGCATGAATGATCCGAGCAGTAGGCCCTATCGTAGACTGAGGCTGGACTAGCCTAGGCCTAGGTAGGTTTGGCGCTAATGCACTTTAGTAGTAAGGTAACTCTTGTATCTTCAAAAAGCGTGTTTTTAGCAACTTATCTACTGTGTGGGTGTGTGTGCGTGTGTGTGTATGCTCCTAACAAATGATACATACGATACTTCTTCATTAACACCAGTTTTTAGCATTTTATTAGTAATTACTAAAAACCATGTTCCTCTCAACAAATTATTACGGTGCAACTCGCGATGTATTGCTAGTTCTTATCCAATTTTAGCTAGTGTGAGGGTAAAAAAGGCAAGCAATACCCATTCTTAGCCTAGGTCCTAGAAGTTATTAAACCTAATTTATAATTACATTTTTGATTGGTCGAATAAGGTTTATCACAAAATCATGAAATATCAACAGATAGCCTGATGGGATTGGAAAGGAGGCAGAAAACAACAACACACACTATATTATTCAGCATTTTTTGAAAAATAATTGTGATAATTCAGACGACACCACACCATCACCGTGGTTGCGCGAAAGAAAGATCAAATGGCGCTATTTCCCCCTTTTTAGTACCGGCAAAGGATATTCAGCCGTCCACCGGGTGAACAATAAATAAACAGTTATTCACACCCTTCCGCCGACAGTAGTTATTTGAAAATATTAAAAATAACCTCTCACATCATAATAAATTCAACATGTATAGGTATAATTTTGCCTTTCCTGGTGTGAAATGTACTGAATACTCAGTACGTTTGAAAACAAAGTTGTTGTTGGGTGAGACTCAAACCCACGATCTCCAGATCACTAGCCTGGCATTCTAGACCACCGAGCCTCCACCTGAAGGCCAGGGTTGAATTCGAGTCCAAGTAAGCAGCGGGTACTGCAGTGTTGATAGTAATTGTTATTATCATGATGGAATAGACAACTGGATTTGCGTCAGGAGAAACATATAGGTGTAATTTTGCCCTACCTGACGTGATATATACTGAATACTCAATACGTTGAAAATGCGAAAAGAATCGCAAGTTGTTCTCGAGTGGCACTCGAACCCACGATCTCCAGATCACTAGCCTGGCAAATTACACCTATACATGTTTCTCCTGATGCAAATCCAGTTATTGTCTATTCCATCACAACAATAGCAATTACTATCAAATTTAATATGATCAGCACTAAAGGCGTCTGGATCAGTAATAAACATGTTATAATACCTAATATTCATGGTCACATGGGGCTGCATTGGGGATAACGAGCTGCTGGTGCGGCTCCTAAGAGGGCGTGAATTCACAGGGTCTGTGGCCTGAATAGACCAACCCTAACCTCAAAAATAGCCTCTCACATAGTAACAAACATGTTATAATACTTAATATTCATGATCACATGGGGCTGTGTTGGGAACATGGGCCTGTGTTGGGGACAACGAGTACACAGTAACACCTAATATTCATGATCACATTTTCGATTAGTGCGAATCTGCCGGGTGAATAGTCACTCCCTTCAGTCCCATTGTGCATTGCAGTTTTGATTTGTGATAAACCTTGTTGATTGAAGGCCATCTTTCTTTGCCATCTTTTTTGCACAGTGCCATGGAATATGATCAAATAGTTTCATCTGGTTTTGTAACTGTATAATCCAATTTTTTTTAAATAACATCAAATATTGGCTTACTATTTAAAAATAATTGGATTATTAGCCATGGAATGTGTCCTAGAGGAGAGGGCCAGGCCTACTTCCTTCACACACATACTGTACTTCAACTAAATTTACTGCATACTTTTCAGTTTGCTGTATACTCTGCCACTAAGGCTGAATGACTTTTGTATCAAGAAGGAATAAGGTTTAAAAGGACAGGTTTTTATATATATATTCCATTATAATGTGAATGTAGAGAGTGGGCTATATTCTATTCTATTATTTCTATGCCAATTGGTTTACATACATTTATTTTTTTATAAGCATAATAAAACTGTACAGGAATTGATTAACTACATTCTTCATTAGCAAAGATGTCTGAAAAGCATTCTTCAGATTTGGCGAGGGACAAAGCGGCTCGTCTGTTGAAGAAAAGGGGCAGTGCATCATCACTATTAAGCAGTAGTGAATATGGAGCACGATATCGACCAACCGGGTAAGAGAAGGAATGTCAAGTAGGGGCAAAATATGAAAGAAAAAATTTAACCTGCTAATTTCACCTTTGATTATATCCATATGTATTTATTTAAATGTCATATGTTCATAAAAACAAATTACTCTTTTATGTAATTATTAATACTAATTTTTATTTGTACAGCACAAACCAGTATGCAATAAAAATGATCACAAGTGCAAATTTTTTTTTATACAAAGAATAATTAAAACCATTAAGATACAATACGTAGTACATTCCATTCAAATTTAAACTGCTATTATAAAAGGACTGAATAAATTACATTAAGCCATTAAAATAATTTAAAATCAAGTTTATTCAAGAAACACATAAAACATTACAATTGATAAAAGGAAAACATTAAAAAAAAAACTCCCTAGGATAACATTCTTGTAGTAAATGACAAGGGAGGGGACAGTACCCAAACAGATTACAAAGGAAAGGAGACAGATAAAAAAGAAAGGGAAGACAAAATAGACAACAAGAAGAGAAGACAGATTTAAAAACTCTTTGTATAATACTGTAGAAAGTGAATTATTATTAAGAATATAAAAATTATTAATTGCAACAGCAACATCAAATAAGGATTAAAAGCTATAGGAATGCAATGTAATTTTTTTTCAAAAAACATACACACATTAACTAAAATTAAAATAAAAATAAAACAGATGGATGTAAATAATTTTTAAAAATGGATTTCACGTATAGCCTCTATTCTAAAAAAATATAATAATTCAATGCAAATATATGATAAATATGAAGGTGAACTAATGTAAGTCAAACAGACAGTTCTTTCTGAATGAATAATTATTAATTAAATCTACTCTGTCTGATTGAGTTTTAAGTTTAAGTTATTTTTATGTTAAAGTAAGATATTGTCATTATCAGACAGTACCTGAATTTAGGTTGTTTTTTTTGTTTTTTTTTTTACTTAAAAGGTCAATGAGCACGGTGTCCTTCATGGATGACCCCCATGACATTGCCCGTGTTGGCCAGAATATGAAGCTAGAGCCAACCTACCAGTTGAATCCAACGGTCAAATTCCCAGTCAAACAGATCAAGGACATTCTGCAAGATGCCCTTGAGGGGTACTTAGGGGAGGAGAAGTACGAGCCTGAGCTATGTAAACAGATGACAAAGACAATATCAGAGGTAAAGATATACAGATTTATTTATTTATTTTATTACAATACAACAGAAACATTACAATATAATACAACACCCTGAAGATTAACATGAGTGCAAGCACTATCCAAACGGTTTGGCGCAGCAGGAACAGTTTGGTTTCCCAACCTCGAGGTCGGAGTAATGGTTACCTGGTGGGGTGCCTGCTCCTGCGCTGATTGCCAGCAGCAACAGTTAATGCACATGGACCCAATGACCAGGGAAAAGAACTGCGCTTTATAACCTCAAGGAAGAGGCGCATTATAAATGCCTATACCAGTACCACTACCAAAGCGGCTCTCCATATTGCATCCTTTCATATGCTTGCTATAATTTCCCCATTTGTTTTCTAGGTTGTTGAGTTGTTCAGGTTTTAGTTTTCCAGGTTCAATTCCATCAAAGCTGTCCTTTGTGTTTCAGTTGAAAAATGCTGAAATGTTTGTTTAATAATGGCTCCTTTTGGAAGTTAAAGATTACATTACTACATATGTTGAACATTAATTCTCCTGATATGGCAGTCTTATGGAATTATGGATTAAATTCTTCAGTTTTTTTGACGAAATTCTGGTTGAAAGCTATGCTCAGATTGCATAATCTTTTATCATTTTACTATTCGTCGTCGGAGTCTTCTCCTTATGGTATTACATGATCTGAGACCAAAAGAGTGGATTTGTTTTTCATTTATTTAACATTCAGTAGATTTTATCATTTGGGACCATTGATAAGCTTTTTAAGCATTCATGGGAGTAGTGTATTTTGTGATTATGATAAAAGAAAGCTTTTGCATTCTGCCAGGAAGAAAAAACCTTCTTGATTGATGGGTGAGCACCCTACAAAAATAACTCCATACCCCAAAAGTAGTAGGTTCACTTATCAATCCATAAACTGTTTATAATAGTGATAACAAAAAAGTAACCCAATTTCAAAAGGAACTCTTGAATATTATCATTTCATGATAACAGATATCAAATTATTAAGTTAGTAACGATGGTGCAATCAAAGTTTGCATTTTTTAAAATCCTACTCAACTTAAGCATGTGTAAATAATGAATTACAGACAGGTAAACTTTGTACTGAGTAACACTCATACCATTAATTTACTTCAAAAATTGTAGTAAACATTTGAAAATTATGCCACCTTTTAGGTAAGATAGAACATAGTTGGGCATTATTACATTCTGCCTCTTCAAGCAATCTGTATCATATTTTTCTGTATTTATATAAATATAAGTGGTTTTTTTTCTCTTTAGTTTTTTATCATATGAATCTGAGTACTGTAGAATGTATTATTTTTTCAAACCAAAGAAATTGTTTCGTTTTGGATGTACAGTATTCAGAGGTTATTAAGAATAACTTAATTTTTTATATTTTATTCAAATATCAAAATTATTTTGCATGAGGTGGTGCAAAGTGCTAAGGTTGCTGATCACTTGGGTCTGCTCTGCAGAGTGAAAGAGCTCCATCATGTGAACCTAAATTGTGAATGATGATGAGATCAAAATAAAATAAATGTTTTTTTGTCCAAGCGCAGTGACGTTTGAAAATGAGGGAAGGTATGGGGTGTTTGGTGTGGGGGTGCTTACCATAGTCTTAATTCTAGAGTTCATTGCCAACCATCACTCACCCCATGCATTTTGGTTGGTAAAAAAAACCACAAGCATAAAATCCGAGGTTAAGGTATGAAAATTATTATTTAAATCTTTTAAAGTGGCTTTTTCAAACATTCCTCCTTGGTAGAAGATATAAATTTTTACCAAAGAAAAGCTCCAGATCCTTGAGATTAGTCAACTATACCTTTGCTTGTTTCTTACTTAAATTATCTCTTGTTTCTTGCTAATATTTGTTGTTTTCTGCTTTGGACTTTTTTTTTTTGTTTTTTGGGTTATCCTTGGATGGCTTTTTTGTTTTATTTTTCCTTATCCTAAGATGTTGTAATAAAAATTATGTTTGCCCTACCTGACATGTTATAAGTACTGAATGCTCCATAAATTCCCAAATTTTGCGGAAAAAATCTTTCAAGTGATTCGGTGGGAGTGCTCAGTCAGTACATTCCCAAATTTATTACTTATTACTAGAAATTGCAAATTGCAAGTGAAGTGCTGCGAAGTACAACCGCATATAAATGTTCTTCGAACAAAATCATTTATGCGAGTCAAGAAAATAATGAATAATAAAAATATAACAAATAATATGAGACATGACCCATTGTCTATATTAGAA